GGTGGGGCCCTCCGAATGGAGAGGTCGGCCTTTATGCCGTGGATCGGGCCAGCCCGACCGGCCCTTTGGAAGTCTCGTAATCGCATAATTAGGCCAGGAAATAATTGAAGACATTTATCCGCGCTCAATGGGCTGGGCTGGGCCCGGGCCGCGCGGCTACCCAGCTCGTAGGCGAGCCCGTGGGTGAGGTCCGCGCCCCGCCTCGCCCAGTCAATATCCCGATTGGGCTTGGACTCTCGACGTGTACCTACCTGTCCCTGCGCCTTCTCGATCCCTTCATAGGACGACGAGGACGGAAGGGAAGAGTCGAGCTACTCGCAGTGCCAGTTTGCTAATGTTTATTTTGCAATGTTTAGATGTGCGAGTGACTTTTCACACACTTAGTTCAAGGGTGTCAAAAAACCTGCGTGACTTACGTCTTTACCTATGTAAAGAAAAATATCTATCTTAAGGTTCTAGAATCGTGCAACTTCAGTCGCACGTCGCACAGCTGCAGGACACCCTTGATGTAGTCGAGTGTGGTCATTCGCATATCTACGACCGAGTAATATAGTAGGATGGACACACATGCTGCAGTGGGTTTCTGAATCATACTTTTTCTTTCCCCGCTGTAAAGAGTAAACCGCCTTGGTGTTGCTGGTCCGCCGCTGGTGTGCCCGCGCCGGGCCGCTTGGGGCTCCTCTGCCGTGGCGCGTTGGCGCGTGGCGAGTCCCTGCATAGTTGTGCCGCCGCCCCGCCCGGATGCTGCGGATGCTCGCGCGCACAATGCTGTCGTATCGGCCACTCTCACCCCAACTCCCTCCCCCTTTCTCCCCGCCGTTCTCTCTTCCTCCCCCTCTCTCACTTCTACTCTCCATCTGCACCACCCCCCTCGCCCTTCCACACCCCACACGGTGAAGAAAGGTATACCCATTTCGGTCGGGTTCCTCGTCCTAGTTTGGTTGTGTCTTTGGCTAAAGGCCGTCCCCATAGCCTGCTTGCAGGAGTGTCGGACAGAGACATAAGATGAGCACGGCTCCGATTTCGAAGCTCGGGGCGCTTCGGCCCTACCGATACGAAAGGCGGTATGCTGCCTAATGAGAGGGTGGAACTGTAAGCTGTAAGTGAGCCGCTGTGTGAGAGAGAGGCGGGACGTCGTGGGGAGCGGGGTAGTCGAGAGGGAGAGTGGGGAAAGGTTTTGGGCCGTTGTAGATGACGGGGAGTGCTGACGGAAGAGGGTTGGATTTTGAGGAGGGAGAGAAAATGTGCTGGTAAAGCAGGGGAAACGGAGGATGAGGGGGAAAAGGGGGGGGGGGGGAGCAAAAGGGGATGGGTGGCCTTAAAATGATGGATCGTGGTGGTGGCGCTCCCGAGATTTATAAATCTATCTTGTCTCAGTGCGTAGTGCCGCCGGGCCGCCGGGCCCAGGGGGACCAGCCTCGGGACCAGCGACACAGAATGGAGCACATGTCTACTCCTCGTGTCGTCGAGCACTGTCCGTTTTGTCTCTTCGATTAATCATGCCGCTCTTATTTTTAGAGCCGCGGCGCTGCAGCATTAAAAGGGCGCGACTCTGGCGTCGAGGCTCGGGGTCAACCCCGGGGTCAACAGTGGCTCAAAAGAGGAATGCCAACTTTAATTAACTTGAATTAAAAGTAAAATTAAAGACAACACTTTTTTATATTTATTTTGCGAGAGCGAGGGAATGCGGTGCCTCCGGCAACGTGGTTGGTCCCCCCCGACCAGACTCTGACTCATGGCTGCGAAAAATTCTTCCCTCGTTATTTAAAAAGAGTGTCTCGACATTTATTTTGATGTTCTGTCCACAAAGTTACCTGGAGGGGTGTGTCGAACCAGGAACCTCATTCGGGAGCGAGAGGAACAGCGGCGGCGCGACAGACAGACTTGACTCATCAGCCGCGGTCCCGCCGCCCCGCTCATCCAAGTTACGACCATGCGTCTCGTTTGTCCAAGTTTGGCCTATTAATTACGATCTGATGAAGAGCGGACTGCGGGCGAGGGGGGCTGGGTTTGGGCCAGGCTTGGGCTGGGCCCGGGCCCGGGGCTCGGGGGTTCTATGGCTTTGAGCTGGAGATTGAGACAAGCGCCCCCATCCCCATCCTCCTCTTTTGCCCCCGCATTCGCCCACCGCGTCCTTTCCGATATACTGCGAAATTTCAATACGGATTCGGCGGTGAATATCGGTAAATACAAAACTCGCTCCCAATTCTATATATTAGGATGTAGTTTAACGCAGAAAATATTTTAAAAACCCAAGAAGTGTTTAAATGTTGCACTCTTGTAGTAGGTCTGTGTTACTTTCATATCGCGCACTTGTACAAATAAATGGGTAAATGTACCTTATGACTTCCCACTCTTAGACCTACGGATGCGAATAGAATCTTGCTCGTCGCTAAGTGTACGACAGTCACACACTTAAGTTTCTTGTCGATGATGTTGATTTCCAGCTATCGTTGCGAAATGTTAAGTGAACAAATCCCAAGACATGGGTTTAAGTGCTTATTGCAATCATAAGGAAAATTTATTTCTTTTTCCTTAGTTAAGTTCGTTGAAGCGATCCCTTGATATTGATCGTGACTGGGCGCTGATCCCTGTCTGGCGGGATCCCCGGGGAGCGCGCGGAGTGAGCAGTGCGGAGGTGGAGAGCAGGCGGTAAATTGAAAAGGGAGAGAGAGGGATGTCGAGAGAGAGAGAGAGAGAGAGAGAGAGAGAGAGAGAGAGAGAGAGAGAGAGAGACGGAGGGAGAGGTGAAGGGCGTGGAATACACGGGCGCTATGCCGGTGAAGGGCGTCCTGTGTGTAGGCCGCTGAAGACGAGTCGTTGAAAGATGTTGTTAGCGCGCCGCTCCACTGCGCTTGTTCCTCGCTTCACTGCACGTGTTGTTGCTGTTGCTGTTGGAGCTGAACAGGAAAGGCCGTCCAGATTTCAATATTCTAATTTTATTTTTTGGCCTCACGCTTGCTCCTACGACGTTCCGTCTTTCTCAAAAGGTGTATAGCAGTCCGGCTAGAGGTCCTTGATGGCGATGGCTATGAGCGGAGTGAGTAGTGGACTAAGTTTCCCTTTTGGCCCGTGACAGCGGGAGGGACGCCATGGCTGCAGGCGTGGCCGGGCGAGGCCGGGCGAGCCGGAGGTGCCATCAAACCTGGCCGGGCCGGCCGCGGCGATCAAGTAGTTTGTTTTTGATGGACAGTCGGACAGTGGACCGGGTCGCCACTGGGACATGTGTGAATGTAGTGCCTGGTGCCCCGCCCGCATCGCCCGCCTCGCCCCACCTCATGCTGCACTACGCCACGCCACGGCCTGGTTCGGCTGGACGAAGTTAATCGCCTGTGCTATCGATCGTATCATATGGTTCGGCCTGGCCGAGCAGCCAGGCCCTGGCGCTCTTGTCCAGAAACGGCGCACTGCTAAAGATATGAAAATAATTAGAAAACAGGCAAGTACTTTCATTGCGTCGCGTACAAGTCGACGCTCGCTATCGAAGTCACTCGTTGCCGTCAGTTTTGCAAAAGAGATTGAACGAGTGCCTTTAGTTCCGGTGCGGAGAGAAGGAATGATCAGAGAAAAGGGAGAATATCCTCCCTCAGAAGTTTGGTGCGCTGGGCCCGCGGCCATTTTTAAAACGGCCGATAGACAGACAGCGTGGGGATAGGTCGGATAGAGAGGGAGAGGGAGACAAACAGAGAGAGATAGAGAGAGACCAGGGGGAAGGTGCGACGGAAGGGGTGAGGTAGGGGGATGAAAATAGCTCCGTGGTAGCTGACGGGGGCCCGCCAGGAGAAGGCAACCAACCCTCGTGCCGTCACCTAGACTTACGGAAGCTTGTTTGTCTTTGCTATCTTCCAGTTTTCTGTATTTTTTTTTATTTTTTTTTTTTGTGGCGGATTCCTTAGCGCGGGGTCAGACGAGGGGGAATATGGGGGGGGGGGGTGAAACTTATTATGGCACGCCTCACCTCACCCGTGATTCGACGTCGCCTTGATCGATGAGCGACAAACACGGTGGGGAGGAGAGGGGATCCTTATCATCCAGGGTGCAGGAATAACCCGCGCGCGCAAAATTGAAAATAACAAATTGATGAAAACAAACCTGGAGCAACCAAATTCACCTATCTGTCAAAATACGAATGCGTGGATTCAGCGTTATCGTAACGCATTTGTGATTCCCGCGCCCGCGTTTTGGAAACTCGATCGACATCCCCTTTTGAAAAGAAAAGTAATTTCTTTAAATGAAAGTTGTCAGGGTAGCATAACGTATTGAGAGTGACGACGGCCATGTCCGTTATTATCCAATTGCGCGGCGCCCCTCCATTGCATACCACCACATGGCTTCATCAAGACGCCGCCGTGCTGTGTACTTCGGGTAGTTGAGCTCGTTGTGTGTGAGGTCGTTTATCTGACCACTTTATTCTTACTGTTTTTGTAGTCATTTATTATTACCGTTGCTTTTCTAACGTTTTGCTTTCTTCTCTGCCTTTTTACAGGCCAGTGCTGATCTCGGCACGCCCTAGCTCAAAACTATGAAGCGGTGCAGTCTGTTCCTGGTCGCCGCCGCAATATGTCTAGGTAAGTTTGTTTGGTTCTCGATCGCAAGGAAATTACTTCGTGTGGGCTCATGAAGCAAAAGCAAACACATCCTTCGAAAACAAAATCCTGCCTCGCAAGGTTTCATCCAAGTGCAGTTGTGAGAGGATTAGTTGAATTCCAGTACATCCTTCGGATGATATGTTCCAGTCGTGTCAGTATTTCACGGTCAAAAGTTGCTGTGTTTGAGAGAGTGTGTGAGAGAGAGAGAACTCGCGGCCTTTTCCCTTGCTAAGCTCCCGCCCGCCTCCTGCCACTGCCTAATGTAGTACATAACCTCTCCTAAGACCAACTACTCCACTCCCCCCAGCGCCATCAGTCAGCCCGGTGGATCCCCCCGCCGTGCTCCGCCCTGCTCCGCCCTGCTCTGTACTGCGGCGCGGCGCGCTGGTGCGTAGATTGCCGGGCATTACCGTGGGGAGGGCAGAGCCACGCCGGCCCCGTGAAATAAGACAGTCGTTAAGGTTGGTGCCACTGCTGGGGGGAAGGCTGGGGGGCGGCGGCGGGGCGGGCTCAAATCGCCAGTATGGCCAACCTCACCTCAAAATAACCGCCCCCTACTCTCGCGAGACGTCGTTCATTCATCACCAGAGAACTACGAGAGCAGTGTGTGACTCTAACTCGAACACCTGTAGATGAACATCCCCCATCCCCCCTAGACGGCTTCGCACGGCTTCGCATTCACCGCAATCAACAACAGCCGTAACGTTGCCTTTCGGCTCTGCCCCCGCGACACCCCTTTTTTAGACAGTCCTTTGTTTTTCACCCTGCGGCGACCCGAACCGGATTCCCGCGGAGCCGCGACTCAGCCGGTTGTGTGTTTTACGGCGCAATTTTCCGCAGCCGTCCAATGACACACACCAACCAGGCCACCTCCGGAACATCGGAACCACCTACACAAAAAATTAAAAGGTTGCAAAAGGGAAGGGGACCTGCTGCGGCCGAGGATCCGGCGTCCTCCTCACTCCTAACAAATCAAATTAATAAGCGATGAAAACGACGCTAGGTGAAGGTATGGGTGGCGTCGGCAGCAGAGAATTGGCGCACCTCTCTTTTGACGCAGCGTTAACTATCATTCCCGCTCCCCTTCAGCTGGAGA